GAACGGTGCATGAACTTTGAACTGATAGGCCTGACTATTTCTCTGTTTAATTTCCCTAGTACTGGTAGCAATTTGCAACTAGCCCCTTTTACAGACTGAAAATCTTGTTTTTAAGAATTTGTGCTTAGAGTGAGTAGTCTTTACTAGGAAGTCCCTATTAATAATAGAAACGGGAACACCCGAGTCAACCAATGCAAAAGTGTTGCGACCACTTACCTGTATGGGGATTGTGATTTTGGTCATATGTGCCACTAAATTTATTGGTGTACGTTACCCTTAAATCTGTACCCATCTCTAGAATTGCTCCTAAAGACAGGCGCGAATTCCTATTGTGAATAATTAGCCTGAGTTGACCTAGACATAGAATTAGTATAATTCCTCAGCTGATTTCAAATTCAAATTTTTCAGGACACTCTCAAAATGACATACTTTTCTAAAATAATAACTTCTTGAAAAGGAAACATTATTGTTATCAGAATCGCAACACTCACTTCTAGGACCATAGCGTTGGTTAGCAGGTCGATATCTGGGACGTTGGTTGTATGACTATTGAGGTGCTGGAGTCTGGAACCTCTGAAATTGATTCTGGCGGAATGGGGCCTGGGATTGGAACCTGGATCTGCTACTGTGGTCTGTTCGATGTTGCTGGAAATGACATCGATGTTGTTGTTGACGGGTTTCCCTCACATCCTCTCGGATTTCCTGTAATGCATCTAATAAAGCTAAATTAGTGGATTCCTGCAAGGCCGGGGTGGTCGTCCGCCGTCGCTCAGCCATTTCTGTCCTGCAACGTTTCTTAGCTCCTCCAGCATCTGTGGATCTGCCTTGCTTACTTCGGCACTCAAGTCGGGTTTTAAGCCATTTATAATGACCGTGATCAGCCATCCAGGATCCACCTTCCGATCAGTTGTAAGGGACCTGACGCGGTAGATAAAGTCCTCGAACTTTTAAGCCTCTTTCTGTTTGGCGTCCATCAGCTGTAGGTTGTGGCTGGATGATGGCTTAAAACGGTTGTGAATGACCTGCCGAATAGAATCTAAAGAGCATTTAATTGATGCTTCAAAAGAGAAATATCAACTTTCTCCTACTCCCGTTAAATAAAAGGGTAAGGTATCTATGGCTGATGTTTCTGATATTTTTTGTAAAAAAATAAAAGTCTTAAATTTAGCCACCACTGGACAATTGAGGATTTCTCATCATACTTGTCCAGTTTAACTTTTCGAGGGACAGCATTGTTGGTTGGTGCTGGGGCTTCCCGCAAGGACACGTTGTTACTGGTCTGAAGACGCAGTAATTGCTGCCTCTGGTTGTCTATCTCGTCTTCCCTGTCCTCTAATTGCTGCCGATCTCGTTGTCGACTCTTTTCCATTCTTTGACGTTGTTCGTCTCTTTCCCTCTCCAGGAGTTGAATGGTCTCAATCTTTGTTTCAATTCCACGAAATGATTATCATCCTCCTCGTCTCTGCTGACTTGTCCATTGACTGGTGTTGGCATGTTGTTATCTCTTGACCTCAAGTAATATCTGCTCATACACCGGGCTTTTGAATACCTCCACCAATTGTCTTCCTTGTTTATTGAACCTTGGGGAACTCGGTTGCAGTCTCCAATCAGATCGGTCCCGGTAGGGGTTACAATCTATATCTGAGACTCCACACTTCCCTGCACAGGTATTAACCAATCAAAATCTAGCTTCCGGGCCCACAAATTTAATTTACATGTATTCTCTCACTTTATTATTATGAAATTTATTTATTTACTTGACCAATTGACCATTCTTTAACTAATAATATAACCCCTTAGAACTTAACACTTCATCGAATGGTTTACAACTTTAATTCGACAACTTACTGAAAAACCTTTTCACGGGGGGGGGGGGGGGGGGTGGTCCATACTCATAAATAGTATACATTATAAGTGACGTTCAACTATTAATATCTTGAGGGTGAATGCAATCTTTCGTTACAATTGGTCTTCGATCAACAATTTCACTGTAGTCGAGTGCTGCCAAAAGACTCCTAGCTCTATACACAGGGAGTGTGTAGGCAAATCTTTTCGGAGCTGTACATCAGCATATGGTTGTGAAAGCTTGCAAGCTCTGCAGTGCTTTTGAAGGATATCTTGTGAACATTAGGAAAAGAATTATTATATATCATATATCAAGAAAAAATACAGTACATTATTTTACCTGACACACCTTTTATGGTGCATTTACATTTTTATTAATGAACAGATATCATGGGACACTGTTACAATATGCACGTTTTGTTGAATGTAATGGTGTATTTTTTATCCCTAGGTATTTGTCCCCCGCTTTCTGAAAGTGGGGGATATTTATGTGGGTCTGTGTGTCCGTCTGTATTTCTGTCTGTCTGTAACACTTTCGTTTCCGCGCGATATCTCGAGAACCCTTTGAGTTTTCGCATGAAATTTTGCATAGCAACTCCCTATGGCCTAAAAAAGAACCCTATTGATTTTGAGGTCCAACGGTCAAGGTCATTAATTCAAAAATTCTATCCGTTTTAACACTTTCCTTTCCGTGCTGTATCTCGCGAATTCTTTGAGCTTTTGCAATGAAATTTTACACAACTCCCTGTGGCCAAAGGAAGACTCCTATTGATTTTTAGATCAAAAGGTCAAAGTTCAAGGTCGTTAATTTATAAATTCCGTCTGTGTGTAACACTTTCGTTTCCGGGCGATATCTCAAGATGCTTTTGCAATGAAATTTTATACCATAACTCCCTATGGCCTCTCTCGCCCCTCTCAAAGTTTCCCCTCCGTTTTTTTTGTCCCCCGCTTTCACTGAAAGTTGGGGATATTAATTTGTTTTTTATGTATTGTATTAAAAGTTGCTCGGCACTGTTTTTCGCACAGTGGCATGTGGAGAGTTATTACGTATAATACAGGTTGTCCGCGGACTTTATATTTCTATTACATCTATTAGAACTGTTTAGTAAAAGCTAATTTAGACACTATGTATTGTTTAAAAATTTTGACAATATCAAATGTGAATATAAACATTATATGTGACCTAATGTTTGCATTTAATTTGCTGTATAATCAAGTGCCTCCGTGGTCTAGGGGTATGATTCTTGCTTAGCAAGTGAGAGGTCCCGGGTTCAAATCCCGGACGATCCTTCTTTCTTTTGGAATTTTTTTCCCTGAATTTACTAGATGATGGTATTCAACATGTGAAATGAAAAAGTTCTGACGTCTGGCGTGTACAAACTCATAAAATTACTATTACAGTGTGATAAACATTCTATATTCAAATCAAAAAATACAGATACAACATGCTCTTTTTTGATAAAGGCATCTCGAATGTAGGTTCCAGTCTTACCAACTGGTCAATAGTACTTCGTTTTTTTTAAAACCGCATTGTATATTAGGTAAAATATTATTGGTTTCAAGAAACCATATACGGCGTTCATTAATCATCCTTTCCATGGTTTTACATAAGCAGCTTGTTAAAGCAATTGGTCGGTAATTATGAGGATCTGTATGGTCCTTTCCAGGTTTTGGAATAGGAATAATTGTAGCTTGGGCCCAGGAAGATGGAAAATGACCTCGTTCCCAAATTGTATTAAAAATTTGGAGAAGACATTCTTTACTGTTTATAGGAAGGTGCTTAATTATTTGATAATGGATTTGGTCCGGTCCTACAGCTGTATCATGAGACTTTTCTAAAGATTTTTGAAGTTCGTCAATAGTAAATGGATGATTATAGCATTCATTGTTTTCAGATGTAAAATCTAACGTTTCCTTTTCTTGTTAATTTTTATATTTACTAAATTTTGGGCTCACATTATTTGTGGAGGAATTTTTAGATATTGTATTAGCTATTTCATTTGATATTTGTTTTTTATCCGTAATAATTTGACTTCCAACATTAAGATGTTGATATCTTTCAGGACCTTTTCCTTTAATTTTTCTTATTGCGTTCCAAACCTTATTGATAGGAGTATGCGAATTAAGGTTGGAAACGAAGGTTTTCCAAGATTTTCGTTTATTAAAATTTATAGTTCTCCGAGCTTTTGCTCTAAATATACGGAAATTGCTTAAATTTGGTGATGTTGGTAATCTATTAAACTTTCTGCTTTTTTGCGAGCTTTAATAGCATTATTACATTCTACTGTAAACCATGGTTTTTTTAATTCTAGTAGAATTTGTCGAGGTTTTAGGTATACATTTATTTGCAGTATGTAATAGTATTTCAGTACATTTTTGAATTGGATCAGGATTGTTTTCGAACTTTTCAGCCGAAATATTTTGTAAGCATAAGCTTTCAAATTGCTTCCAATCAGCCTTGTTTAGTTTCCAGTTTGGAGTAGAACTATTTTCCTCGGGTTTATTTACTTTAATTATAATTGGGAAATGATCACTCCCACATAAATCGTCATGTACTGACCAGTTAAAATCTAAGAGTAAAGAAGGATCTACTAAAGTGATATCTATTGAAGAATATGAACCATTACCCGGATGCAGGTAAGTACTAGAGCCGTCGTTAAGTATACAAAGATTATGATGTGATATTGCATCTTCCAAGTTTTTTTTCCTTTATCTGTTATTTTGTCGCTACCCCATAATGGATTATGGGAATTAAAGTCACCCACAATCATAAATGGAGCAGGGAGTTGTATTAATTTTGTAATTTCTAAAGTTTGTAAATTATAGTTTGGAGGTACATATACAGAACAAAGTGTAATTGTTTTTTCAAGAGAAAGACGTATAGCTACTGCTTGTAGATTAGTTTTCAAAACTACTTGGCTGTGAATGTATTTATTGTTAATTGCTATTGAAGTACCGCCAGATGCTCTCTCAGTTTGAGCATAGTGGTTGTATATACTATAGTTTTTAATATTAATTTTATCTGTTTCTTTTAAATGCGTTTCTTGTAAACATATAGCTACCGGGCAATGGTCCTGAATAAGTAAAGATAATTCGTTAAAGTTGATTTTAAAAACCTCGACAATTCCATTGTATAAACATAGGATGATTCATTGTTATTTATTATGAGAAATGGGGGATATCCTCCCTCTATTTTTCTTTGGTGACGTACTTCGAACTTGCGAGGAGGAATGGCAGGGTGTAATGTCCATCTCCTCGAAGACCCCAAATTTATTGTGGAGAGTGACGGCATCTCGTGCCTCTTTGGGCAACCGATCACTCGACTGCTTGGGGATGTTTTTTGAAGGAGACTTGTTTTGTCTCCCTGTTGATTGTGATTTATTCGCAGCCGATGGCTGTGATGTAGCCACAGCTACGGTTTTTGGTGCAACTGCAGGACCTGCAGAAGCAGGTATTGAAGTGGGTTTACCTTTGTCATTAGATGACAAAGGTATTTTACATGATGAGGCCTGCTGAAATAATTCTTTTTCAGAGACCTGTGTAGACATGTCCTTCAAAGAGGACGCTTTTACAACAGTTGCATATGTTGTCAAATTTGGTTTCGGGACACTGTACATATTTACCAATTTGTTGGCTTCTGAGTAAGGTATTCTTTTTTCAACCTTTACCTTTTGTATCTCTTTCTCTTTTTTCCAAATTGGACAATGTTTAGAGGAAGCCATGTGCCCGCCCTTACATTTTCTGCATTTGGGGTCTTTTTGACAACTTTTACCATCATGTCCCTCTTCACCACACTTGAAGCATGCTTCAGAGGCTTTACAATTGGACTGTCCATGTCCAAACCGCTGACATTTGAAACAATGCAGCGGATTTGGAACGAACATCTCGATTTTCATTTGGTAGAGCCCAACCTTTATATTTGTAGGAAGTGTTGGCATGCCAAAAGTCAAAAGGTATGTATTTGTTGGTTCGATAAAATCATTCCGTTTTTTGGTAAATCGTTTAACAGAGATCACTCCCTGGGATTCCAATTCAGATTGGATCTCCTGTTCAGGAATGTCATCCAGGTCGTGATCTCTGTCGAACAGTATGCCTTTGCGTTGGTTTAGTCCACTGTGGATTTTACCAATAACAGGAATATCGGCAAGCATTTTTAAACCTAACAAGGAAGTTGATTGTTGTTTTTTGGTAACTTCAATAAGTAGAGCACCAAATTTCAACTTTTTGACATTTTTGGGAGTACCGATGATGCCTTGAATACCTTTTTGAATGACGAATGGCGATACCTTTGTTAAAGGCTTCGTATGTTGGTCTGATATTTGTGCTTCAAGTGTGATGAACAATTGCCCGTATGGTGCCCCTCGACTTGGAACGGGTGAGTGAACGGTGCACCCGTTGTATGCTTCGAATACGTGTATCCAGACATCAAAAACCTTAGAAAAATAGGTATTTTATGCTTTTGATGCTCTGTTTATATATCTATCGTAACAGTTTAACAAAAAAGAGCATAATTTTCAAGTTATCACTTCCGGTCGAATATTATCTGTTTACCTGTATAAAAATCACCCAGGTGTAACTCAATCGTGTCCAGTAACGAGGTCACGTTAGGCTGTTTGACAAGTACAGGGTGTTTTCAAAAGTTCAGGATAGCATGTTTATCATTCGCTGTTCTGGATATGAGTAATAGTAAAGATGAGAAAAACGGCTGCGAGAGTGACAGTTACATTGAAAATAATGTTTACTGCACTCAAAATGCAGAAGAACTTGAAAATGAAATTTATGAAGAAATCAGAAAACAGTTTGGTCAGTACGATAAAGAGAATTTCATAGAGAACATGGTGGAAAGATACGTGAAAATCCAGATCAGATGAATGAAATAAGACAAAGTATGTATGATTATGCAAAATCAACAATCGAAGAATTCCCTACAGGTTTCCTAACAGAACGGCGGCAAAGAGGTACCGGGAAGTCAATAACGGAAAAGTATGCATCTGATGTGTACTATATATATGCTTTCACAGAAGGCGTTGTGTCGTCCGCTGAGTTCCAAAGAGAAGTTATGAGTAAATATAAAATGAAGAACTCTGTTTCACAAGACTCGTCGCAGGTTGCAAATAGGACTTTATGTGAAGAAGACGCAATAAATGGACTAACTGTACAAACCCTAAAAGTTTCACAAGTATCCATCGAATGAACAAATGCCTCAAAGTCTGCATAAATAACAAATGGAACTTATAACATTTTCTCATAATCAGTAAATTCAATTATATCATTTTCACCGGGTTCAGGCATTTCGATTTTCTGCTCTCCAAACTTTGAACATATATCTAAATGTTTTTTTCAGTAGTCTTTCTTTTGTAAAGCCATGCAGACAAAAGTGACAATAAAAATGTGGATGGTTTTCTAATCCGGATGTCCTATGGAGAAAGCGATTCAAATTCTTTATTAAGCAGTAATGTGATGTACTTTCATTTTAGGTACAAAAGATTAACATGACGATTCATCTTCTGCTTTGTTATTCTCATAGGATATATTTCATTTTCTTCAAATCCGAACACGTTTACAGATATATTATTTTGTTTCTCGAATTTTCCAATCTGTGATATTTTTACCGGGTATTCTATTCCCTTCATATTTAACCTATTTTCATATTTTTTAAATACTTTTTTACACGATTTCCATTTCTTGGCATAGCATATAAGCTGGCAAGTATACTATATAGAAAACACTTTTCATCTTTGTTCGTTATGTTGATTATTGATCCACTTTTTTGCAATGTTTTACAAAGTTTGACATATTCCATTGCTTTCAGAGGCGCATACATTGCAACATTAATTTCTATGTATTTTATTTCTTTAAAACGCCAGTTGGATCCTCTGTGAATGAATTCTTCTTTGGATACAAACATTTTTTGAAATGCTAGATTAAGGGCATGTTCATCAAAATCCTCACTAGGTAACTGCATATTAGTGAGTGAACGAAAATGGGGGGTTGTCGTTTCAATCTCACCCGTTTCCTTTTCCCGCTCCATCTCAACGCGACTGTTTAAATACCATTTAATACCATTTAGTTCATTTGTACATTTTTGCAGTGTTTCACGAATTTGTTGTTTTGTATTTGAATAAAATCCAAGCAAGTCAAAGCGATCAAGTAAATGAGAGGAAATCCTAATCGATCTGAGTGAATCATTTATTGATTTTTGTTCGACATATTCATATCCATTTTTATTATCATCCTTTTGGTTTAGTTGATTTTCATCGATATTTCCTTTTCTTTTCTGTGTTTCACTGTGATCCTTCCTTTTTAAATTTGTTTTACGTAAAATGAAATTTCGAAGAACGTCTCTGCTATTATTACTTGTGTTGTTGTCAATGGTATTAGATCTTTCATTTTGATTGGGAAGCAATGTCGACAGAATCAGTGATTTTCTGTTTTTTGCTCAGATGATTACGTAATTTATCCTTTCTATCAATGTCAGAAGAATGTAGTCGCTTATTCCCATCATGTATTTCTGTATCATTTGTATCACTTTCAAACTTTCTCTTATTTGATACTTTTTTATTGGTAACATTTCCACCTCTCTGTACTCCCAATTGAAGAGAATGTTTGTGAAAAACTCGTACATGTTTAATTAAATAGTCTTTCCTGTTAAAATTCTTAAAGCAGAACTCACAATTTAACAAATTTGTCTTTGTTAATACATGTCTAGTCAAATTACGTTTATGAGTAATTTTTTTTCCACAAGTGTCACATTGAAATTTCTGTTCCACCTCTTTGCTTGTCATCTTCTCTGTTGATTACGTAGAATATGTTATGAATAATTTTTTATCCATTTTCTCTTCTATGGAAATCGCTGACTTTTGCATTTGTTGTATTCCTTGGTAAAATCACTGTATGATCTTACGACTCCTTGAACTGTTTTTGGTTTGTTTTTCATTTCTTCATTTTTTGATAAATCATAATCATTTTCATGCTCGCTCTCTTGCTGCTGTTTGAAACTTTCCATGACATCACTTGAATGTTCTTTATCATTTGTTACATTCTTACTGTTGTTATAGTGACTATCTTTTTCCTTTTGAAAACTTTCCATGACATCACTTGCTTGTTTACCAAGGGATTGTAAATTTTCCACCTCATTTGTTTTCTTCATCGCTTCGTGCTCAGATTCCTTTTTTTTAGATTTGCTATTTCACGCTTAAGTTTAAACTAAACCTTAACCTTAAACTTAACCTTAACCTTGATCTTAACCTTAACCTTAACCACTGCCTTAAATTGTTGTTCACTTATGGTACGTAGTAATTGTATTCGTTGAATGGATGAGGTTGTAGAAAATAAGCGAATATAGTCAGATTGTTCACGGATTAATCGACTCATTGCACAAGAGTTTATACATTGAAAGGTAGGTAAACTAGCGTGTTCTCACCCGGTAAAATCCTTGATGTTAGTCGATAAAGTGGATCTGTGTTTGGAAAGAGTGTGATACATAAATATGAATGATTTTCCTCTGTCGCTTTATTATATGCATCCATGAAATAATGTGATTGGTTTGGAAAAATCTGTCTTGACGATGTTTTAATTTGCATAAGATCTCTATGATTTCTAAATAAAATTATGTAATGTGCATTCAATGATATCGTTCTCATATATTTTCCTGGAGGAAATATATTTTGCAATAGGAATATCACCGTTATTCCCCTGTGATGAGAATAAGTTGTAAATAAATTCATAATATTGGGATCATTGGCAGCTGCATGCATAACATTGTCCAATGTAAGTAGTAATTTATCATCTGATGAAAATTGATTTATCAGTTTTTTGTCTGGAATTCCCTCATGAAATGTAATATTACTAATATTCTTTTCGATTTCATCAAATAATACTTGCCATGCACTGTAAGCATAAAGGATGCGAGTTGGTTCCTCGTCAAATAATCCTTTTGCATTCAAAAGCATTTTGTACACAAGAGTAGTTTTTCCAGATTGACTTACTCCACTTATTATTATGTTTGATTTTGTACTAATTTGTAATAAACTTTTATCCTCTACCATTGTTGTCACGTGTAGGTACGAGTGATAAATGATTCAACTCTTTCATTATTTATTATTTTATTGTGTATAATATGAATGTAAATAAATATATAATTGTGAACATCTAATAATACATTGTGCACATAAAAATATCGAAACATACTATTTTTAATATATGTGATTTAAAATACACAAAGGAAACAAATTAACAATAGTCTTGTATATATATATTCATCATTCGCATGATAATCATGATACTCATTTGTAAATAAACTAAGAAATTCATTCATTGTAAAATCATAAGATTTATATAACAAAAATAAAATACAGTAATAGCCACACATATAACTATTCTCATGCTGTATAATTTTATTATTATAACATATGTTTTTATAAGGGAAAATTTTAAACGAAAAAAGACTTGGTGGTCGACCAAAGCTATCAAACATCTCTACTACTAAACTATTTGAACGCATGAAAAATGCAATCCAGTGGTTTCCAGGCATGTATTTACAATCGCACCTTTTCCTGGTTTTAGAGAAGGTACGTTATCTGATGAAAACACACCCATAACATCCCTTTTCAAGTTTTTCTCACAATTTAGCATACACATCAACTACTTTGTGTTTAAACCTTCCATAATTTTTCTACGTTCTAATAAACGTTTGGATGATGTTTCTTTATCAGTATTCAATAGAGATCACGGCTGCACATCATAACTGGAAGTCATGCGTAAAGGCCAAAGATCATACTAGACTTGCATAACACTCATCATCTCGAGCATTCGTATTCAACAGGAACTCCAAAGGGACCTTATTTTTTCAACAACAGTCGAAGACACGCCGAATAGGCGTCAAGAAGAGTCCTTGTTTCTGCCAGCCTTAACAAAAATGAAGCATGACATCAAGGGTTGTGCAGCAGGAACTGTCGCATAAACTGGTGACTCTTTCGGACAACATATCTACTGATACTGTTACCAACACCATTGCCTCCCTGGAGGAGTGGATGAGGGCAGCATCAAAAGAGAGAAAAGTTGAAACTAAAGAAAACGCAAATGGGTAGGTACAAATTTGGCGGTTGAATAATTGTATTCTCTATGTATCACTTCTATTATAAATAGATGA